AAGTAGGTACACACTCCATAGACAGAGTGCAGGCCGTCTCCGAAGAGGGAGAGAGAGGGGCGACCACGAGGTGCCCTGTTGCTGGTTTTTATGGGCTTGGTGGCTTCATATGCTAATAAGAAGAAGGACCAGTCTATGGGGAAGGGGCTGGGATTCCCAGGAAGTTGGCCATTTCCCACTCTTTGACCTTTTGTGGCTAGCCTTGGGACTGCCATGGTGCCTGTGGGCATGTTATTCACTGTGTTAATATATTACAATGGGAGAATAATGAAGCTCAAAGTCTACTAGAAGTTAAATCTCTCATCATCCTGAGACTCAAGGCCTACTGGGGGTTTAGTATTTCACCATTTTGATGTATTGCTGTGGCATTCCTTGAATGGCTGTGCCCTGCCCACTTCCATCCTGTCTATTCCCCTCTCAGAGGTTTTACTCCCATAATCTTATGGGGTTGCAGAGGGGCGAAGGTCCCTCTTCTGAAACTGCTACCAGGCTGAGTAGAGGCGTTGACTCTGCCTATCAGGGAGTAAAAATCTCTGAATGCCTAATCTAGGGGCCTCAGGGGCAGGACAGCCTTTTGTTTTTGCATCCAAGGGCTGAGGGTGTGGGCTGGATATGATGTCTATTTGTAATTTTTTGAGGAATCTCTATACTGTTTTCCATAGTGGCTGCACCAAATTACATTCCCACCAACAGTGTAGGAAGGTTCCCTTTTCTCCACACCCGCTTCAACATTTATCATTTGTGGACTTTTAAATGATGGCCATTCTGACTGGTGTGAGGTGATACCTCATTGTAGTTTTGATTTGCATTTTCTGATAATTAGCGTTTTGACCATCTTTTCACGTGCCTATTGGCCATCTGTATATCTTCATTGGAGAAATGTCTGTTTAGGTCTTCTGCCCATTTTTTTCAATTGGGTTCTTTGGGTTTTTTTTGTTATTGAGTTGTGTGAGCTGTTTGTATATTCTGGAAATTAAGCTTTTCCATCACATTGTTTGCAAATATTTTCTCCTATTCTATATGTTGTCTTTTGGTTTTATTTATAGTTTGCTTTGCTGGCACAATACTGTTTTAATCTCTACTTTAAAGAAGGAGAAACTGAGGCACAGGGAGGTCACATGGTCTGAGAGAGGAGGTGTGGGAGAATAAAGTTTCCCGGGAAGACTAGGACGACTGTTGAGCTTAAACCTGCCCAACAACGTTCAATTTTGAATTCTGCCAGGATTTGACGTTGAGTGCAGCTAATGCTCCCATGAGTCACATTCCTGTCCTCAAATTTGCATAGAAGCCAAGCCGCCTCTGCCAGCTGTCTTCTCCCACCCACCCCTTCCCTCACCTATGTTTTAGGCACAGACCTGCACGATCCTACACTGGCCCCACTGGTGAAACCCCACCTGAAGATATGCTTGGTTTGGTCTGCCCGGAAATTTGAACATCAGGAGGTTTCTAATGAAAATCTAGAATTTTGGCTTCTTTTGCAGAATTAGAAGGTCCAGCAGGAGTGGCCTACAGTCCTGTTTGTTTGCAATAGGCTAGAGCTGAGGAGAACTGCTCCCCCCTTTTGGCCAAGGCAAGCCCTCCCACCCCATCACTGTTGTGTGACACAGTCCCTTCCATGCTCTGTCTTGTGCAGATCCCTGAAGCCTCTGGTCACTGCCTTTGGGCTGGTGTTTTTCTGTTGCCAGTCTCAGATCAGGTTAAGTGGGGCCTCTGTTTTGGCACTGCACTCCATAGGGTGAACCCCTCCACCAGGCAAGGAGTTGTGAGAGCAATGGATGTATTTACTGGAGCCCACAGACTCCCTTCTAGACCACTGAGTTTCCACTTGGGGTGGTGAAAAAGTTCTGGAACTAGGTAGAAATTGTATAACATTGTGTGTGCACTTAATGGCACTGAATTGTATACTTCAACATCGTTATAATTGTCCATTTTCTGTTATGTGTATTTTACCACAATTTTAAAAAATCTAACCTAAAAAACAAATCTTGGTAAAACAAAAAAGAAATAGTAAATTTGAACCTGGTCTTCCGTATTGTTTTGAAGGTCTATTTAGGGAAGTGGGAGGTTAGAACATATTTTACTATTTCACAGGGGTTAGTGTATCAGTTTTTCCATTGCTGTGTAACAAACATTCCCCAAACTTAGTGGCTCAAAACCATATCCAGTGGACTCAGGTGAGCAGTTCTTTTCCCTCATTATACTCTCTCACATACAGAAAGAAAAATATATATTCATATATATCATGTATATCCATATATAGTTCTATGTATGTATCTGTATCTGTGTATCTATGTATCTATCTATCTATTCATTCTCTCTATATATGAAGAAAGCCACATTTATATACAGGGAGACACATATATACATATAATATGCATACATATCTATTATATGCATGCATGTATATAACACACACATATGTGTGTATATGTACATATATATAAAACTCACATAGAAAAAAGATAATACACACACACAGGTTTTTTTTGAACCATTTGAGGGTATGTTGCAGACACGATTAGTGCCTTTGACTACGAACAAGGACACTCACTTACATAACTGTAGCACAGTTAGCAACTTAAGGGAGTTTGACCCTGACAAGATGCTTTATCTAATCAGCAGTCCAAATTCCAATTTCACCAATCATGCCCCTTGTGACCTTTGCAGCTCTATTTTCCCTCTGAGGTCCCATCCAGGGTCACACAGTGTCTTTCGTTTTGTGTCTCTTTAGTCTCCCTTAATTGAGGACTAGTTCCTCAATCCTTTGTCCTTTGCAACATTGACATTTTTTAATTTTTGTTTTCTTTATTGTCATTTATTTATTTTTAGGGGGGAGATGATTAGGTTTACTAGTCTATTTTTTTTTAGAGGAGGTACTGGGGATTGAACCCAGGACCTCGTGCATGCTAAGCATGTGCTCTACCACTTGCGCTATACCCTCCCCCCACCATTGACATTTTTGAAGTGCACACTTTAGAGAGAATATTTGAAGTGCACACATTAGGGAGAACATTTGGCACTTTTCCTTTGTCTGATGCTCCTTTCTGATGATGCAGTTTTTGGCAGTGATATTGTATCCTCCCTTCAGGGTATTGGGAGGCACGTGATGGGTGTTTGCCCCAAATTATTACTGTTAATTGTGATTTTTGATATTTATTCTTTCCCTGAGATACACTTGACATATAACATGATATTAGTTTCAGGGGTACATTGTAATGATTCATTTTATATATATATATGTATATATAGCCAAGTGATAACCACAATAAGTCGAGTTAACATCCATCACGATACAGAGTTACAGAATTTTTTTGCTAATGATGAGAGCTTTTAAGATTTACTTTCTTTTTGGAGGGGAAGAGAGATTAGATTTATTTATTTACTTAATTTTTTAAATAGAGATACTGGGGATTGAACCTAGGACCTCATGCATGCTAAGCATACTGTCTACCACTGAGCTATACCCTCCCTCAAAATTTATTCTCTGAGCAACTTTCAAATATGTAATACCATATTATTAACTGTGGTCGCTGTTCTCTATGTTACATTCCTAGGACTTAGTTATTTTTTTTTAACTGTAAGTTTGTACCTTTTGACCTAATTGTGATTATTTTCACCGCTTACCTTTAATACTGGATGGTCACTGCTATAATGGGGGAAACACAGGAACCTAAAAAGGCCAGAGAAGGGACCAATTCCAGTAAGGCTTTCTGGGCAGGGCCCCCGAGGCTGAGGGATAGTAAGACTATCCAGACAAACAGGGTAGGGAACTGGTGACCCAGATTGGGGAAGAGCATGAAAAACTCACCATCGCCTGGGACCTGTGCCCGATTCTTCCCAGACGATCCCAGAGGGATTTGAGGGCT